ACTACTACTACCACTACTACCACTACTACCACTACTACCACTACTACCACTACTACCACTACTACCACTACTACTGCTACTGCTACTACTACTACTACTACTACTACTACTACCACTACTACTACTACTACTACTACTACTGCTACTACTACTTCTACTACTGAAACTCGTCGTCACAATCGTCGTCGTCGTCGTGGTCGTGGTCGTCGCCGTGAGCGCCGTGAGCGCCGTGGGGCGCGGGCCAGCAGCAGGAAGGACGCGGGCTTCTGGTGCTGGATGCAGAGGACCAGCGGAGAGGCGCCTGCGCCGGGCGCCAGGCGCGCACGGCCGCGGCAAGAGCGCAGGGGGCGGCCGACGTCGTCGTGGCCGCCGCCGCCGCCGCCGCCTGCTGCGGCAGCTCACGGGGGCCTCCCGTACGGTGGAGGCCAGTCCACACTCCTCTTCCTCCTCCTCCTACTCCTCCTCCTCGTCGTCGTCCTCCTCCTCATCCTCCTCCTCCTCGTCCTCCTCGTTCTCCTCCCCCTCCCCTCGCAAAGGGCTTGACGACGCTTCTCCAATCGATTTGGAATCTATTGCTTACAGCGGAGGCCAGTCCACAAGAAGCCTTCCACAGGAAGCCCGACCCTGAGACCCCAGGACGTCCATGGATATTTGATGGTGTGGGAGCGTCCCGCTTTCCACGGCAGAGCCGTCGGAACCCGAGAGACCCAGGGCACCCTGGAGGCAAGCAGGGGTGTTTCTTGGCATGGGTCGCCTCTGCAATTACAAGGTTGCAAGGAACGACCACAACGATGTTTCTGAACCGAAATGGAGCTCACAACGAAACGAGGCCACACGTTAAAAACGAACGCTGAACACGAAAACCTGCGCCACAGGAACACGAACGACGAAACGAGCTCTTAAAGCAACAGCGAATAACGAAACGAATTAATAACAACAGCAGCAGCAACAACAACACCAACACCAACACCAACACCAACACCAACAACCACAACACCAACAACAACAACAGCAACACACAACGAAACGAAACACAACACAAGGGCCCAAACCAAGCTGAATAGCGTTGTGGTCGATCGTTGCATGATCATTATCTTGTTGACTCCTGCAGTTCGACGCTGGGTCGACGCTCGTTCGGCGCTGTCTCAACGCACTCTAGAAGCGGACTTGCGACGGTATACGAGGCTCCCATGCCTTGTTCGCGAAGCCGCCGTCGTCGCGGAAGAAAAAACAACTGCACAATCAACTTGTGGAAATCCGTGCGGATGAGGCCGCGTGGCGGGCCGCTCTGCTTAAGTCGGGCCTGTCCCCCTACAGGGGGATTTTCGACGAAAAAATAAAAAATACCAAGAATAATCAAACATACTCCAAAAACAGTGTTGGGATTATTTTGGGACTATTTTTGTTGCCTCTCTGATGTAATTTTGGGGTATTTTTCAGTTTTCGTCGAAAATCCCCCTGTATGGGGGACACGCCCGACATAACGCTCTGCGTGAGCGCCTCGTTGAGCGGCCAGGGGCGCCATATCAACTCAGGCGTATTCGCCGGGGGGCGTGCCGGGGCGCGCTCCTCCCCCGCCTTTCCTACCTCCCTCCCTCCTCCTCCCCCTCTTCCTACTCTGTGCCACTGTCGGGTCGGGCGCGGAATCAGCAAAGGGGGGGATAGCAAAGGGGGGGGTGAGAATCAACTCACGTGGCTGATTTTCCCAGCGCCTCCCGGCGACGGAGGCGGCTATGTATCAAGGAATGGGCCCCTCGGTGGGGCCGAAACCAGCTGCATGCAGCAAATTTCGTACCCCCACCTTTCCCAATCCCCCCTTTCGTCCGGCCCGACACTGGGCTTTCTCGCGCTCGTGAATAAGTGAAAATCCGTGCGGCTCGCTGGGATCAGCGCTGGACCGAGGGCGAGCAGAACTGGGCGACTCGACCAGGCGCAGCACACCGCGAGTCAGCCGAACCGACCGGACCGCTGACACCCTCGTGCAAGCTCCTCCTGCCCGCCTCGCCTGCCCTCTCGAGTCCCCCCCCCCATGTGAAACCTAGCCTCAGGTCGGGCATGTCTCCCTACAGGCGGATTTTCTATGAAAAATCACAAATATTCAACAAACATTCAGAAATGATAGAAAGGAATACTTCAAACATAGTCCCCAGACTATTGTTTCAAACTACTTTTGAATATTCCTCCTCTAGAGGGAGAGGCCCGACTTAAACCTAGCCCGCAGGTCAGATTTCTGAAACACCAGCTTGGGGCTCTGAGTTTGAGGAATGTCTGCGGACAGTGACCCCCCGGCGGGGGTGACTGATACGCCAGCGCCGGGCGGATCCGTAGTGGTAGGGCTTGTTAAAGGTCGCAGCTGGGCCAATTGGGCAGCGCGCGGAGTTCGGCACAGAGTGGGGAAGACAGGGCATTGATCAAGGGAGTGCGTGCGCTGAGTGGCTGCATGGGAGAAGCGCGTATCACCTTTCTTTATGGGGGTCATGTGGGCTTTTGACCCAAGTGATCTTGGAGGCCATTCGAACTGTTGTCGATAGTATACTGCTTCTTCGTGCCATGCCAAGCTGTTGCTCGGCATTGGCCCTGGGGCCGGGGGGAGCGCCTTGAGCGGGGGGGGGCGAAGGGTGGGCCTGGGTTGGGTGCGACGAACGGAGATGGAGGGCTGCAGGGAAGGAGCGGGCAACATGGATGAGATGGAGCGCCCACCAGCCAAGTAAACGCACAGATTCGGAGACCCCCCCTTCACCACGGGAGGCGACAGCTTGATAGCATTGCCTCGGTTACAAGAAACTCAATCGAACAGTCCAGGTTGCCTGTGCGTGTGTGCGTGAGTGTGTGTGTGTGTGTATGTGTGTGCGTGCGTGCGTGCGTGCGTGCGTGTGTGTGTGTGCTTCGAGTTCAAGTTTTTTGTAACCACATAAGGCGCATTCTGTGGTTGGGTGGGTGGATGGGTTCGCAAGCGCATGCCATAGCACAGTCGTCTCCGGCCTTGTTTTTTGTTGTGCTTATTTTCTTCTGACACCACTGCCCCTGTTGTTACTATGGGTTCCGATGTAGTGAAATGGCGCTGCAGCTGCAATCGCCGCAGGGCGCGTTGACACCGCAATGCCCGCTCTCACAACGCCTGCGGCAACCTGCGCATGCACCACATCGCCTGTGTACATGACAATGACTGGGTGCATGGTAGTGCTCCTGTGCACCACCGCGCCTGTGTAAAAAACTGCGAACGCGTACGCCGCAACGCCCTTGCACAACACAGTTGCGGCCACACTAGCGCGTTCCGCGTGCACAACAGCGCCTGCGTACAACACAATCCGCGCGCACACCACAGCAGCCGCGCGCACGCGGCGACTGGCGCTTGCGTGAACCACGCTGTATATGTGCACCACAGAACTCGCGTACACCTCGAGGGTCCCGACGAAACCCATACACCGAAACTCGTGTTCGCGTGGGGGGGACGCGAACGTACCACATCGAATCTGCCAGTTTTTTGTGTTTTTTTTGGGGGCCGCCCGAAAACCAATCTGGCAAGTTCTTCGAACCTCGTGGTATCTCGGCGACGAAGATCCCTCCAGAGGGGGAGGACCCTCCGCGCCTCGAGCTCACTTGCGCCGAAGCTTCGTCCGGGATGGCCCTGGCCGCCCTGGCCCCAAAAGGCCCCCAAGAGGGTTCCGACGCGGCCCGGGACGGCCCCAAGACGGCCGAAAAAACGCCAAAGACCGCCCAACGTGTTCCCAAGACGGGGGCCACCAACCGACAGCTCGAGCCTCTGGCCCCAAAGCGACCCAAGGGGGCCCCAATAGGCGCACAAAAAAAACCCTTCATATGGCCAAGATCGACCCAAGACCGCGCCCAAGAGGGCACCAAGAGACTCCCCCCCTCTCTTCCCTTAATTGCCCCCCGCATCTGCCCGTCGTCGTCGTGGTCCCCCTCGCTATCCTCGTCCTCGTCCTCGTCGTCGTCGTCCTCCTCCTCCTCCTTTCTCCTCATGTTTCTTCTTTCTCCTCCCCAACCGCCCTCCTCCTAGCACCTGGGGTCGGCGGTACCAGTCGTAAACCCTTCCCAACAAGCTGGTCCCTGTGGGATCACAAAGTGGTCACTGCGCCGTGGCCGGCGCGGTAGTGATACAGGAATTGGTCCACGGAGATGCGGCGCACCACGATCACCAGAGCACCGCTCGCCACGTAGAAATCCACGAAAAAACAACCTCTGCGCACCCCGGCGCCTGCGTATGAATGCGCCCCTGTGCCTGTGCACGCCGCCAGCATGTACATCACACTGCCCGCGTACACCTCATGGTGCCTGACGGTGTCAAACTCCAACAAGCCATGGCTGGTCCGGACGTATCAATTTCAATATGCAAGCTGTTTGTCCAATGTTTATCTCTAGCCACGGGCACGGCCCTTACCCCGGGTGCCTGCGCGCACAACGGTATCACTGTATACCCCAATGCTACACACCACCACCACCACAGTGCTATACCCATGCCTGCACACACGTTGCGCGCGCACTACGAACAGCAGACCTGTGCGCCAATCAACAAGCGCTACTGCAATGGGGGTGGGTGGGGCGGCGAGAGTCATGTTATCTACTGAGTGGGTGGGTGGGTTGGACGCCACATAACGCGCGTCATGTTTTCGAGTAAAAAAACCTTATCTCGTGTGTGCGCGTGTGTGTGCGTGTGCGCTTGTGTGCGTTCGCGTGTGCGTCGCCCGCACAGTCACTCTGCCAAGCCGCCGACTTGAAAGTGTGCGTGCGCGTGCGCGTGTGCGTGTGTGCGTGCATGCGTGTGTGCGTGTGCGCCTTTGCGCGTGTAAGTGTGTGCGTGTGTGCGTGTGCGCGTGTGCGCGTGTGCGTGTGTGCGTGTGTGCGTGTGTGCGCGTGTGCGCGTGTGCGCGTGTGGGTGTGGGTGTGGGTGTGTGTGGGTGTGGGTGTGTGGGTGTGGATGAGCTCGTGTGGGCGTGGGCGTGTGTGCGTGTGTGCGTGTGTGCGTGTGTGCGTGTGCGCGTGTGTGCGTGTGTGCGTGTGCGCGTGTGTGCGTGTGTGCGTGTGCGCGTGTGCGCGTGTGTGCGTGTGTGCGCGTATGCGTGTGTGCGTGTGTGCGTGTGTGCGCGTGTGCGTGTGTGCGTGCGTGTGAGCGTGTGTGCGCGTGTGCGCGTGTGCGCGTGTGCGCGTGTGCGCGTGTGCGCGTGTGCGCGGGTTCGTGTGGGTGTGGGTGTGGGTGTGGGTGTGGGAGTGGGCGTGGGTGTGCGTGTGGGTGTGGGTGTGGGTGTGGTGTGGGTGTGGGTGTGGGTGTGGGCGTGGGTG